GGTTCCATACAGATTTTTGAAATACTTGTTTTAGTTTTGTGAAATACATCATCGGTATCTTATTAGGAATTGCATTGAATCTATAGATTGCTTTGGGTAGTATGAATATTTTTAATGATGTTAATTCTTCCTATCCATGAATACAGTATGTGCTTCCACTGGTTTGTATCTTCAGTTTCTTTCTTCAGTAATCCTCTCTTCTCTAAACTATTTTCTTAAAAATCACAGCCAAACTGGCATGACAATTGAAAAAAATCTCCCTGACAGGTTCCTCTATAGAAAAAAAAAATTACTACTGAGACATGACTAGTGACCTAGAATAGTGGTAATAAGTCCTAAACATTTTTAGGAGGGTCGTGAAATACCATGGGAGGTAAAGAATGAGTATTGTGAATAAAAACTTGCTTTTGATAACTATATTAGAGTTTAATAACTATATAGTAAACATACTCATTAAGTGTTTTTTATTATTTACTGCCAAGAAATTTGAAATGAGACAGATCATTTACTTACCCTTCCTTTGAAATGCTTATTTTGGTAGATAAATTAGAATTTATTGAAATTCTTGGTTTAGCATCCTAGGAAAATATCTTTCTGCTGAGGTTGACTGCCTTACTTCTGTGTGACTTCTCTTTCTAGCTCAAGTGTCTGGCTGCCATGACAGTGACCCACATGCTTTAGGACATGTTAATGATGCCAGATCTCAGCTCGCATCACACTGATGGAAACTGCCCTGGGCCAGTTTGGTCTTGCCTGGCTCTTAGGACTTCTTGATAGATAACTGTAACTGCAAGAAAACCCCAGGTAGTGGGGTTCATCCATTCTTCCACAACTTTTCCACCAGGTTATATATAATGAAAGCTAGTCTCAGATAAAACATTTTTTTCTACACAACAGTCATTTATTAAATATTCTTAGCAAGCAGGCACAAAACATAACTTATTCTATAAGCTTAACTCCTGTAGTCTTAAGTGTTCTGACCATTTTATGGAAGGTTCTGTGAGGGGCACAAAAAATAATTTTCTAATCACCTTTCAGAGTTCTTCTGTCTGTGATGGTAAGCAAAGTAACAGACAGATTAACAGAAGAAAATGTCTAGAACTCACTTTGAATGCACATGCTGGGCTGCCAATAAGAATATGAAACCCAAGGAGGCATTGGACAGCTGAAGTTTATATGCCATTCTGGACAAAGGAGAGAGAGGCAAGGGTCTAGGATTTCAAAAGGAATGCAGGCAATTTTCAGGTAGAGAGAGAGCAGATGTGTGAGATGTGAGGACCAAATTCTTAGTGTGCACCCAGAAACAATGGAACTCCAAGGGAAGGCCAATAAGCAGGCTTTTGCCAGATTTCTGCCATGTTTAATGTATTATGTTGCTAAGGTCATGCTCCCTTTCTTTAAGTAGGTTTTTCTATCTGAATTCCTTAAGTGGGGCAAGGGAGGTGGGAAGGTGAAAGGGTTTTTCTGAGTCTTTCATTTCTTAATACCCAGCTTAAAAATCAATATCCCAAAAAATATATTTTGAGATGGCAAAGTATGTTGCTTTGAATTGCCATGAATGGAAGTTGTCCCAGCTTATACAAGGTGGGACCCCAAAAAACCCAGAATATATTTATAAAAAAATTGTGTATTACATGTTTAAACTTCATTCACCTTCAAAGTACTACCCATTTGATGCAATGCACCTATCAAGCCTTTTTTTCACTGCTCAAAACAGTTTTTGAACTTGATGATTTTGATGCCTTTTAGTGCTTCTGCCTTTTTTTGTTTCACCTTTTCTACATCAGCAAAACATTTCCTTTTGAGGACTTTTTTCATGGGGAAACAAAATCAGAAGTGGCAAGACCATGAGAATGGACGGTGGGGCATAAGGGTCATGCCATTTTTTTGGTAAAAAACTGCTGAACATTCTGTGCAGTGTGGACAGGTGCCCTCATAAATCACTGACATGAAATGGGCAAAGTCATTCAAAGAGTCTTCCAAAAAAGAATCCACTGAAACCAAACGTACACTATACAGATGGGTTCCTAGAACACTTACCTAGCGGGAGAAGGCTGTAAGGGGCCTACCCTCCAGAAGATAATTCTGGATTTGGGGGGGTTCCCCTGGTGTTGCAACCCACGGACAGTGTTAGTTTCCCCATAGTCTCACCAACACAATGTTTTCAAACTCCTTTGATTTTTACCAGTCAGAAGGAAAACTAGGACCTTATAGTTTAAATTGGCATTTTATTTTTTTAAGAACATAAGGTTGGAGGTGGGCATCTTCATGAGATGAATTTCAAATAGTTTTCCACTGTATATGTGTCTATTGCCACCAGACCCTTTTAAAAATAAGTATCAATTTAGCAATCGATTCTCTTATGGCTTTTATATTCTCATTTAGAAAGCCCTTCTCCAGTTTGGCACAAAAGGGAATTTGTGGTTTTGTTTTTCACATTAAAGGTCTTTGATTTGTCTGGAATTTTAGAATAAAGTTAGGATGGTTTACTTTTGAGGTAAAAATGTGTATGTGATGTAGAATCTATATATTGTACTGGGATTATAAATACAGTGTTAATTCCTGGGAAGAAGTTTATTGCTATGTTGCTTGTCTATTTTAAGGGAGGGTCATTGCAAAATTTTTCAGGGATTATTAAAGTAACAGTTTTCTGTAGGAAATTTGGAAAAGTAAAGGAAGGAATGAAAACCACTCCTAATCCCAGCACCATATTATTTGTAACAAAATTCGGACTAAACTCATACTGTATCTTTTTCTTTTGAGACTAATAGAAACATGGGTTTAGAAAATAGTTTAAGTGGTTTCTTAGCAAGGTGTCACAATTTTTGTTTTTAACCATACTTAAGGCCTTTAATGGAATGAATGACCACAGTAGCAGGCTTATTAGATCTTGAACTATTTTGAAAACGTCCATTGTAAATAAGACGCCAGCACTCCCAAGGAACTTGACACTGAGAAGAGCGGGTGCAACTCCCACCCAGCCTACCCTGCTACCCGGCTCTCAACTGGTGTGTGTGTGGGGGGGGGGGGCACAGAGTGGGGTTGGCTTTTCAAGGACTGTGCCTCCCCGCTTGGCTCGACTGCAGCACCCCCTGGTGCCGATGGCCAAGGCAACTGAGGGACGAGTCCCCGGAGTTGGTGTTACCACTTAGCTAGTTCTCTTCCGAGAAGTTATTTACTGGCTTTTGGAGCTGCTTTCACTAGGCCAGCTCCCACTTGCTCTGCTGCACAGCCCTGTGAGCAGTGCAAAATATTGGCGCTGGAGGGCGTTGCACCATAGAGGACTGCCTAGCGTCTGCAGAGGCGGTGTCCCCGCGTCCCTGAGGCGGGGCAAAGCTCCGCCAGGGCGCCAGGGGTTGGCTTCCGCACCTCAATCCCTCGCTGCTCCTTTTGGGGCTGTCTGAGAAGTTTTGAACTTCCTGGGTTGACTCGCCCGAGTATACGCTGGAGTGGGTGGCCAAGAGGCCAGGCTGTTGCCACTGCGTGGGTGCGGCCCTTTAAACTTTTTGTTTTTAAACTTCGGGGGTGTGGTTGAGGCGTCTCCTCTCTCAGAGGCTGGTAGTTCCCTGGCTAGCCTGTTGTCCCGCCTTCCAGATGCTTTGGAGTCAGTCATGAGCCGGGAGGGCTCAGGGACCCGTCTGGTGGCCGAGGTGATCAAAGGTGAGTGCAGAGGGTACCGGATGCCCATAGGGACACCTGTATTTAGATGGCACCAGGCGGCGCCCGGAGTTCAAGGAGGCCCCACTTTCTGGCTAGAAGGTGCCTTAAACCATTGGAGCCAGGGCCAGTGCTGTTTTATGGGCGTCGGTGGCCAATTAAGCTCCTAATTTCCACGGGTGCTCTTGTTTGGGGAGAATGCGAACAGACCTGTGCATAGGGGAGCCCCTGGATGGTAGGTGAGTTATTGTCTCTCTACCCAGGGGAGCAAAATCCGTGGTCACTGTGCACTGGGATCAAAGGTCATTTGTAGTTGGAAAAAGTAAGCCTATCGTCCTTTGAGTGTGTGTGGTTGTGAGATATTTTATTTGAGGCGTTTACAAGGAAATAAATATAGCAGTTGCATGAGTGGAATTGCTGACAGTTGTTTAAATTACCGTTTGGGCAAAGGATGTAGGCTGACATTCTTTGTTTCTTAGTATTTTAAAGCTGGACTTGATTTTGCCACAATTTTTTAGTGTAAGCATTCTAGCAGCATTAACTAGTAGTCTTACTAAATATTTTAGGTGACTTTGCTTTGCAGAGGATTTTTAGACAACTTTTTCTGTGGTAGGGTGGGGGAGGAATAAAAGGTTGGAGCTTCTAAACATTATTAGTACGGGTTACCGTTCTTGCTAAACCTTACAGCAGTCTAACTGCATTTTTACAACACAAGTTCATCTCTCACTCATGCAGAAAGCTCATTGTTTCTGTTGTGATGGTAATTTGTCTAATTGTAAAAATCACTGCAAAAATAGTAGTGATCCCTAAGAACAGTTGGGTAAAACATAAGGTTCGTTTTGTTGTTTGTGTTCTGGAGCCTTAAATGTTAATTTTGAAGCCGTTTGGAAAGCGTTCTTTATCAACTTCAAATAGTTTCTTATTGAATGACTGTTGAGGATGTCTTGCAAACATAGTGATACATAACGAAAGTCATCTAGGTTGATGACTAGCCTTCAAGTGCATGCTGCCATTTGCTCACATATCTTACTTAGCCCAGGGGAACTAAACTTCTGTGATGAGAGGTTCTCCCAGAAATCAAGCCTTGCTGATCCACGAAAAGTCACTTGTCATTATTGAAACTTATGGCTAAAGACAATTTCTCTTTTAATAAATTTGCTTTTTTTTTTAATCACTCATCAAAATTTTTGTCAAAACATTTTGAAAGTATTGGCACCCTTACCATCAAAAACCTGCATGGAAAAAATAAAATATCTGACTTCGCCTGAAAAGAGTTGTGTCATGATATATGAAATTTTATAAAATAATCTGAAGGAAGGAACATTGCAATTTTTCCATTTCAGATCGCCTTTGTTTTGCCATTCTCTACAGCAGACCAAAGAGTTCATCAAGTGTACATTATTTCAGCATAGATAATGAACTTGAATATGAAAAGTAAGTATTGCTTTTTAAAAGATTGTTAATTTTTTTTTATTTTGAAGAATCTAAAGGTATGTTTATAAATAGGATAACCTTGGAAAATTACAAATCTGTTGACTGATAATTGCAGGGCTTTTTTCCTTTAGCTAACCTTAGTAATAAAATAGACCCTTAGGGAAAAAAAATTAAAATGAAAGAATCTTCCTAAATTTAACAATTTGTATTTGACATTCTAATTGTTTACAGTGCAGTGCGATATAAATTAATATACTAAGATGTGTTTTTACCAGTGGAGATATATGGAAAAATAGCCTTTTTATTCAGAAGGTATTTTCATGTGTTATGAGGTTAGATTTCGTTGTTGAGCCAATTTTCATGTTTCTTACTAGGCATTATATACCAGGATATCTCTTCCACTAGTTAAGGCAGTACCTTTAAGTTGTGTGACTAATAACAATTTGGTGTATGCTTCCTTGTCTTAATTTGATCTTGTAGCTCCAAAAATACATATTCAGGGTATCCAGAATATAAATATACATTTTTGGTTTTTACTTTTAAAGCTTCTACGCAGATTTTGGACCACTCAATCTGGCAATGGTTTACAGATATTGTTGCAAGATAAATAAGAAATTAAAGGTAAAGTCTTTTTTACTTAAGATTTGACTTAATTGTTGTTAGCCTGATTCTTGGGGAGAGGAAAGTAAGGAAAGCACATCTCTGTTTGAAAAAGGAAATTTCATGCTTTTTTACTGCAGTGGTGTTTGGGACATATTCATGGTTTTTGTTTTTTCTTCTTTATAAAGGTATAGTGTATGTGTTAGTTTTCCAGAGGTTTGTTTTTTTTTTTTAAGATTTCATTTATTTATTTTTAGAGAAAAGGGACAGGAAAGAGAGGGAAAGAAATATCAATGTGTGGTTGCCTCTTGCACCTTCCCCCACCCGGGACCTGGCCCACAACCCAGGCATGTGCCCTGACTGAGAATTGAACTAGAGACCCTTTGGTTCGCAGCCCGCACTCAATCCACTGAGCTACACCAGCCGGGGCAGTTTTCCAGACTTTTGATTGAAGAGTTTAAGTTTAGATATTTGGTTCAGGTTTGGGTTGATGAAGCTCACATACTTGAGGGTCAAAGTGGAAATTGGTTAATCAGGTAAACCTTCTTGTTATCTGACATAATGGAACTGAAACCGAAACCTAATGAGAAGCTTCCCTTGCTGTGGTCATTGTTGTTTCTGCCTTCACTTTGATAATAGAGGAGTGCTAGCAAATAAAAATCTGCTCACCTTACTTTCTCTCATTCTATTTCGCATCTCCCCTGATGTCCTACTTGTGACTTAGTTTGAACTTAGACCCCATACATTTATTTTAAAAACTTTGAGTTATTGCTCATGCACAGTAGAGAAGTGTATATACTGCTAGTAGTTCCTAATTAGTCTCTAAGTTCTCAAGTAAAAAATGCTGGATCTGGGGACAGGTCCTTTTTAAAAACAGCTTTATATCGATAACTTAAGTTACCAGGCTACTACACAGAAGAAATAAAACTTCTTTTCAATTAAAAATTAAATTATATTAAAAATGTATGGGTGAGTATGGCAAATTCTTTTCACTTGAATATCAAACCTAAAATTTCACATCATAAATGTTAGAATCATCTGTCAAATGAGCTACTAACCTGTAAAGTGGAAATTGTGGGATTGCCTTACTTTTTGTATTGTATGTGTATTCACTACAGGCTAATAGAGAGGTAGGGACTCTTCCTTCTGGACTTTCGTCTCTCTTGGATAGGAATAGAAGCATTTATAGTGTTATGTATTAATGTCCCCCTCACCTCACCCCTATTTCCAGTTGTCATTGGCAGGTCTTTTGTTTCTTAGAGGGATATGAAACTAAAAATAATTTCCTCTGCCCGCTACTTGTGTTCCTTTGCTTTAATTTTGAAAGATTTTTTTCCCATCATCAGCCATCTATGGACTTTTATCCTTTAGGTCAACTAAGAAAGTATTGGTCTTTTTTTTTTTAAACAGTAGGAAAGTGAAAGAGTGTCCCCCTCCCCGCTTCCAGATTCTTACATATTCCTTCAGAGGTGGTCTATACTTTATATATTTATTCATATCTTTTTGTTTTTTCTTTAATTGTACATACTTCTAATCCAAGAATATGTCTTTTATGGGAAGGTACACAGTACTTGGGGTATCAAAGTTAATCTTTTTAAATGTCTTGCTAATATGAATGCTATGCTTTGGAATTTATCTTCATCACAAAATAAAATTTTAAAACACTACATTAAAAAGAAAGTACTAACAGTTGTGTATCTTTATGCAGTCCCTTACAATGATAAGGAAGAAAATTGTTCATTTCACTGGCTCTGATCAGAGAAAACAAGCAAACGCAGCTTTCCTTGTTGGATGCTACATGGTAAGTCTTTAATTACCCTACTGGTGTATCAGTGAAAATGCCGAAACAGTGGTACTTTGCTGTTGGGAATTTGGGGTTATTTTTTTTCTAAGATAATGTCTTGATTTTTTTCAGACAAACATGTTTTGCTTTTTAAAAATTGACCAACTAGGGAAGGCTGTGCACATGTGGGGGTAGGGTGCATATGGTGGATCTCTGTACCTTCTGCTCATTTTGGTCTGAACCTAAAACTGCTTTAAAAGAGTCTATTTCAAAAAAATTGCCCAGCCAGTATAAAAACCTTTGTGTTATGGCAGTTAATGTTAGAAAATAAGGCCTTCAAAACTGTTGTTCTTAACTCATGATCCATTTAGTGAAGTTGTGAAAATAGAGTCTGGTCCAATAATTGATTTAAAGAAAAACCAAAGTACACCACATGAGGTGAAAGTGCTTTATAATTTGAATGCATTTTTTTCCTAACTAAGGTATGGTTCTAAGATTACCTTCATTCTCATCCAGACATCTAGCAAGCGGCACAGCATGTCAGCACTGAGGAAAACGGGTGACGTCCCACGTCACTAACATATGGCATCGAGTGGTCAGTCTGTTTGGGCGACTGAAAGTATGCTTTGGAGTAGTGTTTACCCAGGAATTATGAATTTCATTTATTTGTAAATATCAAAGAAGATTTTGTTCCAGTCAGTTTTTCTGCACCTAGTGTGCATTTGCAGGCGTAGCTAAGCAGTCGTTTTCTCTGCGGCAGCTGAGAGCTTCTCCAGAGCAGCGTCCCTCATCGCTTTGGTGCTGTGGACACAAGCCACCCCATTCAGTGAGAGGGATAGGATAGCAAGGGGCTGTTTATTCCACTCTGAGCCACCATAGTTACAATAATTACTCTCCTAGATTAAAAAAAAGTTTGTTTTTGTTTATAAGTTCTTTCTTCTCTCAGCTTGTTACTGTTTTCTATCATGCTCCCTCCCTTTTAAGATACACTGGTATATCTTTTCTGGTTCATAGTTTGATCATCTGGAATGTACGTTGATTAGGCCAGCAGTTGGTGGTCCTAGTTAAAATTTGCCTCAAAATGTAATCATTCCTTTTCCCCTCCTATGTCTAAGGTATATAATTAACAAAGATTAAGGCCTTTTTTGGTCTTATTTTCCTGTTTGTACTTACAAAAGTAGTTGAGAAATGCTTCTGAGATAACTTTTTTATTATCATCTCTGATTTTATGACACACAGGTTGTAGGTTGTGTTTATTAATATTTGATTTCTTAAGCTTACCCACATGTTGTGGTGTTCCCCCCTCCCCCATATCTTTTCTGCTGTTTGTTGTGCTTAGCAGCAAAAATCTTTGGGTGTAGGGGGAGGGAAGAGCTAAAGCAAATTCCCAAGAAAAACAGTATGCAAAGGTGGCTCTCATTCTTTGGGGAGAGGAACCCCCTGATTAGAGGAAATCAAGACAGCTTTACAGAAAGAGGGGCACAGCTAGGATTCCTGGGGTTTTTAACATATTAAAGGGAACCCTAAGGAAATGGTCCTTGGTATGACAGTAAAAGTCCTTACACTGCCCAGGAGAAAACGCAAAGCTCTGCCTGGGCTGCTTTAAGTCAGCAGTTGGTCTCGAGTTAGCTGAGATGTCTGCAAGGTAGGGAGTCCTGAGGAACCAGACCTGGTGGCAAGTGTGAAGAACCCCTGGAGGGCAGCTGTCGGCACGATGGGAAATAGGCAAGGGTTGTTATAAAAACAAAACACTTGATAATTTTATAAATAAGAAATCTTTTTCAATTTTGTTGCTTTTTTTTATTGCCAGTTAAAAAGAGTAACCCCTTGGCACATTTATCGAAATTTGGTGCATATTTGTTCGCAGCTTGGTGTTGGCCTTTTGACTTTCTTTATGGTTTTTGGCATTGTTAAAGAATAGAAATTCAGCCCAGTAAATTTAGATATAGTTGGTTTTATTAATAATTCATGCATTGGGATGCATCCCATCTGGTAAATAAATAGAAAGGTGCTCTAGCTGTTTAAAAAAAAAGAAAAAAGAAAAGAAAAAGAGAAGAAAGGTTTTTACAGGTAGAGGGTCAGACAGGAAGTTATAAGAGTAGATTGTTTCAGACAAGGTCACCTTCCCTTAGGAAGGAGGGGGTCTTTTGAGTTAGATCTCTTCTTTAATACTGACCTGGAAATTCCAGGCTGACTGGTTTAGAATTCCATTCTTGGGATGGCTGAACCTGCAGTTAGGTTAGGTATTGTCTTGGTGGGGTTCAGCAACAGTGACTCCATTTTTAATAGTAGGCAGAAGTTAATTTTGGGAGGATTTAATATATTTTAGATTACAGATCCTTTCAGGATTTTGTGCTCTTGGATTAGCACTGATTTGATTGGTTAGGAAAACTCCAGGTCAGCAATTTGGACATCCACTTGAGTTCATTCCTCGGCTCAGCTAGAAGCCAACTTGCAAGGCCAGGAGGATTACAACTCTTGGCTGTAGCAAAAGTATCTGCAGCCATGAAGGGATGGCTAACGTAGGAGCATGGCGCTGTGATGATGCTAGGCAGGGACACAGGAGAAAAACATCTAAGGAAAGGAAATTTATTAATAGTAGGAAAGGAGTGACAAGATACTATAATATGGATACCTCAAAAGAATTAACATCAAAGTAATAGGTAAGTGAAGGTTTGATCTGGTTGAAGCCTATAGAATCCTCTAATTGGAGATTTTTAGAGAGATGAGTAGGAATTCCCTAAAAATATATCTTCCACCTTGATAACCTTTACTGGAATTACTGAGGAATTTTGGAGTCAGTAAGGTTTTTAGTGATTGGCTCAGGTGAGAGGTGGTAATGTTAAAGCGAACAAACAAAAAATCTGGAGGAAAACTTGAGAAGTCCATTCCAAATGGACTGACTCAATCCGTCTCTGCCCTTTCAGACTCGGCCTCCCAAAGGAATCATGCTCACTTCATCCTCCTTTACTGAATAGGACCAATATGGGGTACAGAGGGGGCGTGAGAATGAAACACTACTGTTTCTATTTAATTTTTTATCCTGAAACAGAAGAGATTAGTCTTTACGGATACTTAAAATAGGACTGATACGCCCACGTTCGGCTGTTGCTCTTGTCGCATGGTCAGGCACTTCTGTTGTATTGGAAGTGAGAGGAGCAGCTTGACTGTTCATTTTGTCTTCGGTGTATTTCCAGTACCGCCCTTTATGTGGCCTGATAAAGGATTTACCAAGTATCCCAAATGGTGAATCTTTGGTAGCAAATTAGCCTGAAACTAAAAATCTTTTGAACCACACTGTGAAAGAGTTGAAGACATAAAAGATAACTGAAATTTTCTTTTAAAAGATGAGTGAACTATATCATTTTATGAAATAGTAAGTTTGCTACCCTATTGTGATAAATCAGTGACTGGGATAAATCAGTGACTGTGGTAAGTTAGTGACTGTTAACCTAGCTAGATTTTGGGGTGGTGGACTTAACCTGTCATTTCAGATATGAAATTTTGAGTGGAAAGGTTTGTTTGCACAACAAATTAATGACTAAGTGAATATTTCGAAAATAAAAGTTTTAAACTTTGCTTTGTCATTTTGTTGTAAAAAATTTGATATGTACAAAACCCATATGTGTACCCTGGAGAAATTTGGGAAATTGTTCTTTTAAAAACAAACTTTGTTTCTGTTTATTGAAGCAGGACATACTGCATGTATTCAAAATGTATACTATGCTTTATGTCCCCTAATGCAGTTTTATCACCTGCTTTTTTTCAGTGGATGATGTTTTATCATCTTTATACCCAGATTATATTTATAATTCGCCAGTTAATAAAAAATATTCAAGCTGATATCTGATCCAGGTTGCATGTGGTGATTGTGCTTTTAATCTCTCTTACACATGGTCTCTTGTTAACACTGATTTATTGAAGAGGTCAGTCCTGTTACCTTGTAGAATGTTCTGGCTTTTGAATTTCTCTGCTTTTTCCCTTGTGCTGTTTTAGAACTTGTTTCTTTGTTCTCTGTATTTCTTGTGAACTAGAGGCTAAAGCTATAGGCTTAAATCCCTTCAGTGTGTGGTTTTCTCGTTATGGCTTAGAAGTGTTCTGTGTAGTGTTATTTGAATGACTCATAGTCATACGTTTGGTGCCCCATCAACATTTAGTGTTTTAAACAACAATTGGTAACACTTGCTTGAATCAATCATTTTATTAGAGTTTCAGTATAATGTTATTAAGTTATTTCATTCATCCTTCATTAATTAGCTGACTTTCTTTATGGGAATTGAGCTTTCCCTCATCCAGTTGGGGCTCTTTGGTTACCTGAAACCTAGATTTTTACTGAAAAGACAGAATGAGTGGTCATTTCCCTTTAATTACCAGTTTTCAAAGTAAAGTGTTACATTAATAGCCCACAAAACCAAATTTTATCGCTTGCTTTAAAGTCATGTGTCTGGGTTTTGAACTTATTTGCTAAATGTTTTAAAAATGTGCAGTACTCACCATTAAGGTTTTTTAAAATGTTTTTTTACATTGTATTTTACTTTAGATTTTAAAGAGAGGGGAAGGAAGGCAGAAAGAGAGGGAGAGAAACATCAGTGTGTGATGGGCTGCCTTCTATAAGCACCCCAACCAGGGCCCTAACCTGTAACCCAAGCATGTGCCCTGACTGGGAATCGAACCAGCTACATTGCAGTTTGCTGGAGGATGCCCAACCAATTGAGCCACACCAGTGGGTTTACCCATTAGTTTTTAACAACATCTGATTAGCATTTGGGAATTTGGAAATTTATTAACTAAATGTACATCATTGGTGGATGGGATTAGACAAATGAATGTAATCATTCCTGTATTTGCATTTACATATCATGGTCAAGTGGGGTTTTGTTGTTGTTGTTGTTGTTGTTGTTGTTTAGTTATAGCACACATTAAAATCAAGAATCAAAATAGCTGAACTTGTAACTGAGCTTTTAAATCAAAAAAATTTAAAATGAAGCATATCAATCATATTAACTGATACATTTATT